AAAAAATAATATTGATGGGTGAGTTTTGAAATTATGGATTCTTAGGAATGGATTAGACAACCATCTTAATAATTTTTTTGTGTTAGTGCCATCTAGCGTCTTTTCTACGTACCACCATGAGAGTTAACCAATTTTGATTTGATAAAATGACTACTTATAGAAAAAAAGAAATAGATGGTGCTATTAAAAAAAATACGTATATAATAAATAGTAATTACCTAATTAACAAACAAAACAGATATGTCTCTTCTTAAGATCGAAGAAGAAGATGCACTGTGACACATCTGTATATAATTTTATGTAAATAATGTAGGCCATACAAATAATTGTTCCGGGTCTGGATGTTTGTCCTTGTGAAATTTATGTTTGTAAACTGCCTCCACGACACAGGAGAAAATCCTAGTGTGGGGGTAACGTTTTTTTACAATTGAAATTGAAAGATTCCTTTCCAATTCCAATTTCAATTTCAATTTTTTTTACAATTGAAATTGAAATTGGAAGATCCCTTATACTTCTTGTTGATTTTTGTATTACCTTTATTAAAGTTACCCTTATGAATAAATAAATATAATTACGTATGTAGAAATAAAATTGATTTTCATCCTCATCAATCATTGGGGCGAGGATAATGTCTGCCAGCATAAGTAATAAGCAGGCTAAGTTACTAGGTGCTCAGTTCAAAAATTTGTAGGTAGGTATGTTACTTTTCAATACGTGACACGTAAAAATTAACAATAATCAAAAACACATCTACGAAACATCCTATTTATTTATTTATTCTTTCTTGCACCAAATATTTGTACAAAAGGCGAGCTATCTATTTATTTACCTATAGTGAATAGGTATCTTTTAAACTCACAATTTTCAATGCTTCATTTTTAATATATAATTAATTATAAAATTTCATAATTAGATAATATATGAAAATATATAATTCTAATATAATGCAACAAATATACCGAATAAAAAAATTAAAATACATTTATCGTTGTACGCTGTGTGTATTTCCATAAATTAGTTTATTGATGTTGAAAATATAATACTACGTTCTTACCTACAATAGGGCAATATATTGAAACGAGCGGCGCGCCGCCGGCAAAATGCTCAAGGTCGTTCGCATGGAGTAGCCCCTTAAGAAATAGTCTCGTACACTTACTTAGCTGTCATGTTGCCTATTCGTTTATTCGAATTTCCATCTTAGCTTTATATTTATATATTTTTATTAATTTTCTCAGTGTTAAATTTAAAAAAAAAGTATAAATTATATTAATACTTATATATATTATGTAAGTTATTTATATGTATCTATACTTAATATAATAAAGCGGAAGAGTTTTTTGTTTCTTTGTTTGTATAAACGCGCTAATCTCTGGAACTACCAGTCCGATTTGAAAAATTTTTTTTGTATATTATAGCCAGATTCATGTGGAATAGTATAAGCTATCTAACATTAAGCTATATTACTCAGCTAGCCTAAAATATGGATATTTGTTAAGCAAGTCAGAAGAAAACGCACTCCCGAAATGATTTATCCGCGTACGCTGGTGTTATCGTTAGGGATACGTAAATAAAATGTTCTAGAAAAATATAGATCTTTACTCCGTCTAAAAAAAAGTCCGCGATACCATATGTCTATTTCTTATACATAAGCCATAATTAGGTGTTTTATGACAAAAAATATTGAAAATTAATAAAGTGATTTATGAGCGTTATTATTAGGCATGGCCTATTTATCCTTACGAACGAAAGTTACTTCATCATCAAGACAATTTTATGAAGATAAGCCTTGTTCTTTATACCATGCTATTTGGACTCATAGTTTAAGAGATAATGTAAAATTAAAATAATTCAATACTTGGCTGGGCGCGCGAACGGCACATAAACCTTAGCCGCCCAGTGAGAACTGCGAGAACTGCTCAACCGGGAGGGGGGGGGAAAGTGGATAAAACTTAACTTCGCTCTACATCATACATAATATGCCGACAGATAAAAGTGCTCCATTAATTATGCCAAATTTTCCATCCATTGCTATCAAATAAAATATTTAATTGCAATTATAAAATGCTTGAACTAGGTCATGTCGCGCACCTCCAACATGTGATGACGCGGATGAAACCGCGGGGCACAGCTAGTTACTTATATAAATATATTACAAAAGCGTTACAAAAAACAGTGTGTATCGTGAAGACATACGACAGAAGTGAAACTTTTGTATTACAGGGAAACATTTCAATTATTCATCAATGACTTTTGAATAACATAGATGGTGTGTATCATTCATTTATTTACATAAAATTATATACAGATGTGTCACAGTGCATCATCTTCTTCGATCTTAAGAAGAGACATATCTGTTTTGTTTGTTAATTAGGTAATTACTATTTATTATATACGTATTTTTTTTAATAGCTCCATCTATTTCTTTTTTTCTATAAGTAGTCATTTTATCAAATCAAAATTGGTTAACTCTCATGGTGGTACGTAGAAAAGACGCTAGATGGCACTAACACAAAAAAATTATTAAGATGGTTGTCTAATCCATTCCTAAGAATCCATAATTTCAAAACTCACCCATCAATATTATTTTTTGGGTTTATGCCATTTAGCATCTATTATACGTACCACTTTTGAGTGTTTTGAGTGTTTTTAATTTTTATTCGATAAAATGACTTTTACTATAGAATGTTACTACATTCTATTGATGATGGCGCTATTACTCAAATGGGATCACTCTTTCTCAAAATTATTTATAAATTAACTAATAGCAATAGAGGTGGAGCAAATTCGGATTCTGCTGGAGCATTTAAGGAGCAAATAATTGGCATAAAGTTTAATTTTAAAACGTAGATATTTTATGTTTTATAGCAAAATTGAATTGTCGATACTTAAATTTTTTTTAAATTAATTATAAATTAACTAATTACAATAGAGGTGGAGCAATTTCGGATTCTGCTGGAGCATTTAAGGAGCAATTAATTGGCATAAAGTTTAATTTAAAAAGTAGATATTTTATACTTTATAGCAAAATTAAATTTTGGATACTTAATTTTTTTAAAAATTTATTATAAAATAACTAATAACAATAGAGGTGGAGCAATTTCGGATTCTGCTGGAGCATTTAAGGAGCAATTAATTGGTATACAATTTAATTTAAAAAAATAATGTTCTACGCTAACTTCCTTCTGGTTATTTTTTTAAAAATTAATTATAAATTAATTAATAACAATAGAGGTGGAGCAATTTCGGATTCTGCTGGAGCATTTAAGGAGCAATTAATTGGTATACAATTTAATTTAAAAAAATAATGTTCTACGCTAACTTCCTTCTGGTTATTTTTAAAAAAATTAATTATAAATTAACTAATAGCAATAGAGGTATAGCAATTTCGGATTCAGCTGGAGCATTTAAGGAGCAAATAATTGGCATACAGTTTATTTTTAAAAACTATATATTTTCTGTTTGATAGCAAAATTAAATTTTCGATACCTAAATTTTTTAAAAATTATTTATAAATTAACTAATAGCAATAGACTTGGAGCAAATTCGGATTCTGCTGGAGCATTTAAGGAGCAAATAATTGGCATACAGTTTAATTTTAAAACGTAGATATTTTATGTTTTATAGCAAAATTGAATTGTCGATACTTAATTTTTTTTTAAATTAATTATAAATTAACTAATTACAATAGAGGTGGAGCAATTTCGGATTCTGCTGGAGCATTTAAGGAGCAATTAATTGGCATACAGTTTAATTTAAAAAAGTAGATATTTTATACTTTATAGCAAAATTAAATTTTTGAAACTTAATTTTTTTAAAAATTAATTATAAAATAACTAATAACAATAGAGGTGGAGCAATTTCGGATTCTGCTGGAGCATTTATGCAGCAATTAATTGCCACACAGTTTAGTTAAAAAAAAGAATGTTCTACGCTAACTTCCATCTGGTCGAAAAATCAGCGTGCAAAATGTCGGTCGGAAAGATTAGTGAGTTTGACGTGAAAACCGGTAACTGGACTGCTTACGTGGAGCGGCTAGAAATGTATTTTGTGGCAAATTCAGTGAAGGACGAAATTAAATTGCCGACCTTGATCGCGGCTATGGGTGAAAGTGCGTATGAACTGTTATCCACCCTCGCGAGTCCTAAGAAACCCGCGGAACTTACGTATTTGGATGCAGTTGTACTATTACGTAATCATTTGCAACCGAAACCATCTCCGATGGCGGAACGTTATCGTTTTAGGCAAAGAAGACAAACAGACAGTGAATCGATCAGTGATTACGTGGCGGCATTAAAGAAACTATCTAGACATTGTGAATTCGGTGCAGTCCTACAGGACAATTTACGGGATCAGTTGGTGTGCGGACTTCGAAGTGACGTCATACGGCAGAGATTATTCGCGGAAGAAAAATTATTGTCCTATAACAAGGCAGTGATTTTAGCAGGATCGTGGAGTCGGGCGCAGCGGTGACGTCATCGCAGGCCGCGGGTCAGCTGCGCGGCGAGGGCAGCGGCGGGGCATACGGGGGGCTGAACGCCATGCGCGTCGGCCAGCGAGCCCGCCATACCCGGCACAGCGCAGTGGCGGGAGGCGGTGGCGGCGGCGTCGGCGCAGGCCGCGCGGAGGTGCGCGGTTCGCTATGCGGAGCTTGCGGAGGTGTTGACCATGTTGCCAGCGAGTGCAAGTTCAGAACCTACATATGCAGCAAGTGTGGCGTGATGGGCCACCTACGACGCGTGTGTTTCACAAATAACCAGTCGGTGGCGCCGGGCGCCTACAACGGAAACGCGGCGAATGTACAGGGCTTTGGAAAGAAAAGCCGGAACAGCGGTCGCGGAGGACATAATCAGAGACCGAAAACAAATTATGTCAATGCAGACGATGGGGCGACATTGAGTGAGTACCACGAGGCACCCGAGGAAGAACCGGTGATGCAAATGTCGCTGTTACAGTACAAGCCGGTGAGTTTGTGTTTATTAGTGAGTGGACATAACTTAAACATGGAAATAGACACTGGCTCGGCGTTGTCGTGTATTAGTAAAACCACGTATGAAGATACATTTAATCATTTACCATTATTACCATGTGATTTAGCACTAAACTTTTATGATGGAACAAAAATAAAGCCATTAGGTTACTGCGAGGTTAATGTGACATATGGGCGGTCTAGCAAAGTTTTAGACTTATATGTTATTAATAACGGTACTACTACTTTATTAGGCAGACAGTGGTTGTCAGAACTTGATATCAGCGTACCAAAATTTAATGTAAACAGGTTAAACGAATCAGCCATGAATGTATCTTATGCCGTAAATGAATTGTTTTCCAGCTATGCTGAGTTGTTCGACGGCGGGCTGGGGCGCTTCACGGGTGGGCGGGCTCGGCTGGCGGTGCGCGCGGACGCGGCCCCGGTGTTCTGCCGCGCGCGGCCGCTGCCTTAAGCTAGGGTCCCACGGCCTGTTTTGTCACAGGTCAGACCGCGCCAGGCCGGACAACAGGCCGTGAAAACCATCGCATCCGATGAGGCCTGTGGTGGCCTGTTGGCGCCCGTCCGATCCATCGGGAGTCGGTAAGATCAAAGGCGCGGCGCGGCACGGCGCGACGGCGCCTATCGCGGCCTGTACGGGCGCGTCTGCGTCGGTTGCAATCGTTCATTTCAACTGCGGTGGCGCTTGCGCGTACATGCTCATGATGGAATGGACGAACGAGCTTATATTCGAGTTTTTAACTCTTTATGAAAATGAACCAGCGCTTTGGAATAGTTCGTCACCTCAACATAAAAACAAGAACGGCTTTTGTTGAATGATGACACCCACCAGCCTCGTTTTTTCTGCTTTCTTTTTGCTTGGTTTATCAAACGTTCACCACTGAATAAAACCACCGCGGCCGCACACGCAGCCATGCGCTCCGTATCACTTCACATATTGGAATGTCAGTCGACAGGCCGCACCAGGCCGGCACACGCCGTGGGAACGCTCAGTACGGGCCGCGACAGGCCCATACAGGCGGGGCAACGCCTGGTGCGGCCTGTCGCCTGGCAGGCCGTGGGACCCTAGCTTTACGCGCTGCGGGAGCGCGTGGACGCCGAGCTGGACGCCATGCTGCGCGCGGGCGTCATTGAGCCCGTCGAGTGCTCGGACTGGGCGACTCCTCTCGTTATTGTCAATAAATCGGATGGAGCTATTCGAATATGCGCGGATTACAAGGTAAACCTCAATCGTGTCTTATGTGTCGACAAGTACCCAGTGCCTAAAATTGACGACTTATTGTCGCAATTAGGGGGAAGTAAATTTTTCAGCAAAATAGACTTATCACAGGCATACAATCAGATCGAGCTTGACGATACCAAAAATTACACAGTAATTAACACCCATCGCGGTTTGTTTATGTACAACAGACTTGTTTTCGGCTTAGCATCCAGTCCGGGAATTTTTCAAAGAATAATGGTTAACTTGTTAAAAGATATCGAGGGGGTCGTAGTATTTTTGGATGACGTTTTGATCGCTTCGGACACTATCGAAAACCATATACATACTTTACGTAAAGTGCTAGATAAATTGAAAGAGTACGGTCTTAAATTAAAAAGGGAAAAATGTGAATTTTTTGTAGAAAAAGTGAAATATTTGGGTTATGTAATGAATAAAGAGGGAATCCACCCCGATCCTGACAAGATAGAATCGATTCTGTTGATGTCACCACCCAAAGATATTTCGGAACTTCGGTCATTTTTAGGAATGGTCAATTTTTATAGCCGTTTCGTGACCAATTTGAGTACCATTTTACAGCCACTTTACGAACTACTAAAAAAAGACTCGACATGGAAATGGGGTAAATTAGAACAGCAGGCTTTCACTGTAGTTAAGAGACGTTTGAGTGACGCGGTCGCGCTGAGCCACTACGAGCCGGGCGCGCCGTTAGTGGTGACGTGTGATGCCAGCGCGCGCGGGCTCGGCGCCGTGCTGGCGCAGCGCGACGCGGCCGGCCGCGAGCGCCCCGTCATGTGTGTGTCGCGCGCGCTCACAGCCGCGGAATGCAACTACAGTCAGATACAAAAGGAGGCGTTAGCTATTGTATTTGCTATGAAAAAGTTTCACCAATATATTTACGGACGACGGTTTACATTGCGGACGGATCATAAACCGTTAGTCACAATATTCGGTCCACACCAAGGTATTCCTAGCATGACGGCCAGTAGATTACAGAGATGGGCTTTAATATTAACAGCTTACGATTTCGATATCGAATACGTCTCAACTAATGATAATGTGGCGGATGCATTGTCGCGAATGATTTCTACCCATAAAGAGAGTAGTAGGTCGGAGGAAAATCGAGAATTTCCGGAACAAACTTATTTACATTTCGCGTCAGAGGCCTTATTAATAGACAATAATAGTTTAAAGCGGGAAACCGCGAGGGACGCGATACTAGGGCGGGTCCTCGGTTATATACGGGACGGCTGGCCGCAAGATATCGAAATAAAAGATATCAAACCATACTTTCACAGACAGAAAGAGTTATACGAGGAACTGGGGTGCGTCATGTGGGGTCACAGAGTAGTGGTACCTTCTAGTTGCAGGGAGAAAGTTCTCGCAGAGTTACATGAGGCTCACATGGGGATCACCAAGACGAAACAGTTCGCTCGCAGCTACGTGTGGTGGCCGGGGATCGACGAGGCGGTGGAGGCCGTGTGCCGCGCCTGCTCGGTGTGCGCGCGCGTGGCGGACGCGCCGGAGCGACACGAGCCGCGCCCGTGGCTGTGGCCAGAGCGCCCGTGGTCGCGACTGCATCTCGATTTTTTAGGGCCGATAGGGGGCGTTACTTACTTAGTCACCGTGGACGCTCATTCTAAATGGGTCGAAGTCACTGCTATGAGTTCCATTTCGGCAAAAAATTTAATAAGCAAATTAAGGGAAATGTGGGCTAGATTCGGTCTGCCAAGACAGATAGAGAGTGACAACGGTCCGCCATTTACTAGTTATTTACAGGAATTCCAGTTATTTCTTAAGGATAACGGTATAGAACACATATTTTCAGCACCCTATCACCCGGCTTCGAATGGCGCAGCTGAGAATGCGGTTAGAATGAGCAAGCGGGTTATAAAAAAGGCACTGGTACAGGGTGTGAATATCGATATCGCGCTTAATAGGTTTCTACTCGTATATCGTAACACCGAACACTGTATTACCGGTGTGAGCCCCGCGAAATTATTACAAGATCGTTCACTGCGCACACGCCTCGACTGTCTGAAGCCGGAGCTGGGGCCCCGCGTGCGGCGCGAGCAGGCGCGGCAGGCGCGCGCCGCGGGCGGCAGTCGCCGGCAGTTCGCGCCGGGAGACCGCGTATGGTACCGCGATTATCGTAACTCGGTTGTAAAATGGTTAAAAGGAGAAGTACACTCCAGACTAGGAGAAACGGACTATAATATTCTAGGGGCTGATAAAGTCTTTATTCATAGACATGTCGACCAGATAAGACCACGATCGGGGGAGCCGTATAGGGAAGAGGAAGACCGGGATGTTTCAGAAGGAGGAAGAGGTTCATTATCACGTTCCTATCTAGTGTATCCGAATGGCTCCTCTCCAGTGGTGGAGGAAGAGACCAGTTCGAGTGGCAGAGAGGCCGCGGCCGGGTCCGCGCCCGCCGCGACGTCCCCGCGCCCCCCGCCCGCCCCGCAGCCGGCGCCCGCGGCTCCGAGCCCGGCGAGCGAGCGCCCCAACCCGCCTAGAACTCGTAGGGCCCCGCGACGTTATGGATTTGATTTTGATTAGTTGTAAGTTAGTTAAGTGATATGTGCTTTATTTTATATTAGTTTAAGTACGTTTAGAATAAGGGTGGAGGTGTAATGTAGGGTAAGCTTATTGTTAACATAAGGAAGGTAGTTTGTGACCTGTCTCTCTCGTAATAAATGGTTGAACTGTACGTACGTGTTTTCCTTTGTCTCAATTATTATTTATCACTCATCTTGTATCTTATTTAAAATAACTTAATGACATATCAAAAGACAAAAAATGACGTATGTTAATAAAATAGTAGAATCTATGTACTTAATTGTCGGTATAGTCAATAGCGTAAATTATTCATATAAAAAATATTCATATTTTTTCTAAACAAGTACCAAACATAATTATTAATTATTATCCTTGAAAATGTAGTTGTGTGCACCAAAAACATCGTTGATGCATCTGTTAGAGATCGCGTACATTCTAAATGATGTGACAGATTTAGGTCATATTCACACAATATACGAGTACCTACATAATATTTCTTTTTGTCAAGATGATGATTCATAACTAATACGAGACAAGTTATTAACAAATTCTATTTTTATGGACAAAATTGACCCATATTTACAATATGTCGTGAATATCTGTGTTTAGTGCAAAACAAAATTACATAATCTGGACTATAGGTGGCGCCGTAATTGAAATAAATTTTATTTTTACGCAGTAAAAAGTCCGTATAGTGAATTCGGAGTATAACAAATAGTACAAAGAGTATAAAATGTTGTTCTTCTGAACAACAACTGCTGGGCCAGATAATTTATTTTTATTTTACTAAGACTAAACTGATAGACAGAACGTATTTAAAAAGCACTGCAAAAGCAATATAGTTAGAAAATACAGTATCAGACGCCACGTACTCGTGCATTAGATTCATCCTTAAATGTTTATGGGTGACTATTTATAGATATTATGGTAACTTTGATGATTTACCAAAGCCATTGGACAAAATAATTTGACGGGATGATTTGTAAAACTAATACCACAGAATAAATAATAGTTAAAAGAACTGAAAGATCACTCTCTGATAGCAAACTTACGTGTTTAAACTTAGTTACAACGTCGTTATTGTTCATAATACTTTGCACGCCTCGGAAGTGACTTTCGTGAAATTAGCGTACCATTTATTTCGTCGGAAAAAAAATTATGTGGCGCGCGTATTAAATCAAAATACACTTTACGCCCGCGTGCGAGTGTCTGTATCACTTAGTCTGTTACGCGCCTTTGTCAAGGCGATACCCCGACCAAAGCCTTACGATAGCGCTTTTTTCTCCGTTATTCTGAGACTATTATCTCATTAGTTATGAGAAATAAACTACACCTAAAAGTTTAATAATAGAAGAATTAACAGGCTGTGTAGCGGACAGCGAGGAGGCCGCCGCCCCGTCGCCCCTTCACACCCCGGTGCGCCCCGCGCACCCCGCACACCGGCAGCAGATCACGCGATGTCATGTGATGTGAGAACATAATTACAGAAGAAAGAAGATCATTACAGAAGATCTGCGAGGAAGAAAGAAGTACGTCGACGAAGAGAGAAGATCGTCGGTGCTAACTCCTTCCTCGTTTCTTATTTACATCGACGTCATATATATTGTCTGTTTCCAGACAATTCCTGTTTCTTAACCGCGTTTACGCGGCCGGGTGGTTGCTCCCTAACGGTG